TCTCAGTGTCTGTACAAAAGAAACAGAGGGGGCAGTAGAGAAGTCAGTAGAGAGGTAGAGTCCAGGCTCTTCCAGGACCAGGATAGTCTAGAACCAAGATCTGGGTCCTGAGAAAGGAAGAAGGGCCACACTCCATCTGACAGAGGAGCCGTACACCTTCAGGAAATTGTAGGAGTTCAAGAGCAGCAACCTCATGCTCATAAAAGACGGGGTAGGGGGCAGACAGGGCGGGGGCAGCAAGCTCATCCAACAACTAAGTTGATTATATTGAGAGAGGCGGAAGTAGCTCAGTAGGATTTCCTTAGGTCCCACCTCCCACGTGTCTCCAGATTGGGTGGCACCAGCCTTGGACAGGAAGTACGTCATTTTTCGTGGACCATCGCTGTACACCGAGAGGTAATGGCTTACTGCTTCGTGTTTTGTCTCTTTCTTCTTTGAGGGGAAAGTATTAGGGTTCAAATTTATGAAGTCATGCTTGCTAACAGGTACTCTTGCCACTTGAGCCATACCCTAGCCCTGAGGTACCAGGTTAAGGTTAGGCAGAGCCAAATGGAGAAGGCTAGGCTCCAGGAGGCGTCGAAGAAATGGCGTAGACTGGACAGAGGAAGCTTTTCTGTATGAAGGAGTAGAAAAAAAACAGCATAAGGAAGCCACTTCATTTAGCAGGTACTCAAATGATACAAGTGTACCTTTGCTTTTAGGTCTGCAGAAGAAAGAATCTTCTAGTCCAGCGAGCATCTGCCCCCGCCCCCACCCTCTTGTTAGACTTCCTCAAAGTGCTGAAGGTGAGTTCTAAGGAGGTAATTAGTCCGTGTCCTGTGAATGGTCTAGGTTAGAGCTGAGAAGAGGCAGAAGAGTCCTCCTGCCATGTAGAGGGGCCCCAAAACCATGGCGCCACATGAAAGTACCATTCCCCTAACTCCACACACCCCATCTTCCGCCTCATGGAAGCTTGGAGTCAAGAGCCCTGCTCTGTGGTAGAGTGGAGCAGCTCAGAACTCTCTGAGGCATTGGTCATGTGGAGTGCTATGGGAAGGAGGGAATACTTCAAGGATTTTTTGTTGTTGTTGCTCAGGGCCTGGGCGCTATATTTTGGCCTTTATTTTTGTCGGTCGTGGGGCTTGAACTCTGGGCCTAAGTGCTGTCCCTCAGCTCTTCAGCTCAAGCCAAGCGCTCTACCACTTGAGCCACACCAACACTTCCGGTTTTCTGGTGGTTTATTGGAGATAAGAGTCTCACAGGTGTTCCTGCCCGGGCTGGCTTTGAACCACAATCCTCAGATCTCAGCCTCCTAAGTAGCTAGGATTGCAGGCGTAAGCCACCAGTGTCTGGCTGTATTTGGGCTTTTTAATGGGAGAGACTTGAGGATGTCTGAGTATTAGTGAAAAAGAAATACAGTAGGTAAAAAAATTGGTGTCTCATGAATAAGTAAATACAATGCTAGAAAAAAAGAAATCATCTTGAAGGTGACTCAATGGTACATGGGAATTTGACATGGCATGGATAGGGTTAAACTTTGTTAAATCATGTGTTGTTTCTGAAGCAGACAGATTATATATAGAGAGAGAGGGAAAAGGTAGAGAGAGAGAGATAGGGAGATAGATAGCTGAGACAGACAGACAGACAGGTAGATAGATAGATAGATAGATAGATAGATAGATAGATAGATAGATAGATAGATAGATAGATAGATAGATAGATAGAAAGAACATCTCTTTATGGACTTATCTGTGTATATATATGTGAAGAGTGGACAAAAAAGATGTGTCCCCAAATAATCCACTTATACTTTTTTTTTGTCAGTCATGGTGCTTGAACTCTGGGCCTGAGTGCTTTCCCTGCACTCTTCAGCTCAAAGCGAGCACTCTACTGCTTGATTCACAGCACCACTTCTGGTTTTCTAGTGGTTTATTGGAGATACTCTCCCGGAGTTTCCTGTCTGGGCTGGCTTTGAGCCATGATCCTCAGATCTCAGCCTCCTGAGCAGCTAGGATGACAGGCATGAGCCACTGGTGTCCAGCTCCACTAATACTCTTGTTAGTTCTGCATGCAGATGTATGGACATCTAGTCAGACAAGTGCTCACGCCACTTCCCAGCTATCTCCTTCTACCTCTAGAAGTCACAGCCTTGGACTGAGGTTAGGAGAAGATACAGTTCAGGCTCTGCTTACAATCAGAATGTTTCAGGAAAGATCAAGTGGACAAAAGGGAAGAAAGGGGACAGAGACCTCAACAGATCAGATCAGAGATGGATCATTGCTAAAGAGGGGCACCACATACCATCAAGCAAAGTCTGACATCCAAGGGCACCGAAGGTGTGGAGTTGAGTCTAAGGGAGCTGTTGTGGCAGCTCCAGATCCCACAGGTAGGGCTGGGGGCGAGGTTTATTTTTTTTGAGAACCACTCCAGGGTGGAGATTTCTTTTTTTTTTGGTCGGTCATGGGGCTTGAACTCTGGGCCTGGGCACTGTCCTTCAGCAATTCAGCTCAAGGAGAGTACTCTACCACTTGAGCCACAGTGCCACTTCTGGTTTTCTGAGTGGTATATTAGAGATAAGAGTCTCACGGACTTTCCTGCCTGGTCTGGCTTTGAACCACGATCCTCCGATCTCAGCTAGGATTACAGGCGTGAGCCACCGATATCCGGCTTCAGGTTGGAGATTTCTGAGAATAGATCCTGAGAATGGACTGGGAGGGACGGAGGTCAGTAAGCTATATTGGCTGATGAGGGCAGTGCACATTGCCATAAGAGAGGACAATCAGGAAAGATGGAAAGATCTTCACAAACCTACAGTAAGTCTGCTCTTTCTTGCATTTTCCAGGCAAGGTGACTACATGTCTAATCACCTAATTTCGTCATTGGGAGTTAGCAAAGAAGTGAGGGATTTGGACACATATCACAGGGCCTAGATTAAGAGAAAGAAGATCTTAGGCTGCAGAACAAGGGAGACCCCATGGCAACCTGCCCTCGCGCCAGTCCAGGAAGGCCTCAGGCAGGGTGAGCAGATGGATGATGGGTGACTTCTGCATGTTTGTCTGAGAGACAATGAGGATTGGCAGAAATAGTACTACCTTAGCATTGGGAGAAGTTCAGGTCTTGTCAATGATTAGACACTAGACAGACTTGAGAGGCCCAGAATGCACAGCTTCAGCTCTGCCCTAGCTATCAGACTGAACGAGCTATGTTTTCCGTCCAGCTCTGCAATCCAAAATAGGACTCAAGTCACTGGAGGGTAGGGCTCCTTTTCAAGTCTAAGAGAGATTTAAGAAAGAGTAACAGAGCATATTACAGTTTGAATCAAACGAGGACCTCTGGAGCCAGGAGCCCCTGTGTAGAGTGACCACATTCTGAGCACCTTCACTTCTGCATCTGGGATGTTAGGGAGGGGTACACCTTGCTGTGAGTAATGTGGCCTCTGGTCTTCAGGGCCCTGAGCGTGTACAAAGAAGATCCATAATTTTCCCAAGACATGGGAAACCTGACCCTTCTGTCAGCCCTGGGTGGCTTTGGCCAAGACCTTGGGAAAAAGAGATGCTGCTCTGGCTTCCAACTCAGGGTTGGAGTGGGAGTCAGTGAGACAGGGTCCTTGGCCAGTAAGATAGACATGTGGGTTAGTACAGGAAAAGGGTCCAGGGCTGCTGAGAAGTAAACATGAAAACCTTGGGGTCAATGCAGACATTCCAGACACAAGGGCCCCTGAAACCTGCCACTTCTGTCAGCCTTGGGAAAGTGGTGCCAGTGTGTGCACATGAGCTGTAGCCTCACTACTATCTCCTAAGTCTCAGGGAGGTGAGATTTTGAGGTGAGAAGAGCCATCAGAACAAAAACAAAGGAGCGCCAATTGGTCAGCAGAGAGGTGCCAGGATCTCTCAGAAGTAAGGGTGAGGAGAAATGGAACCCTTCACTAAAACACAGAGGATGCCAACACCAAACTACACTTCAATCAGCTATTGAATAATGTGGGGGCTGTAGTTAGGTTGGCTTTCTACCTCTTCCTCTTCTAACATTGCACCCACACAAACACACAAATACACACACACACACACACACACACACACACACACACACACACACACGGCTTTGGCTGAAGTAAAGTAGCCTAAGGTCATCAGAGGGGAACTGTAGACCCTGCCTTTTATCAAGACGAAAAGCAAGCAGTTATTCTACCTATGCGGCCCACATTAAATTTGGACATCTATGGCTGTCGCCCCTTGGTAGATGTAGGCATATGTGAAGCCCCTCACTGCTGTTGTATTCCACCTCAAGGAGCTAGACCTCTGTTTTGAGAGGTTGCCTCAAGCCATCAGAGGGGTGGTACCTGAGCTTTTCCTGGGGAGAGTTGGGGATCAAAATAAACACAAAGTGGACCTCACAGAGTCCAGGCCATCTGTTGTCCTTGCAAGCTGCTACTTGAAGAAAAGAAGGAGGGAGATGAAGTGGTGCTGTGGCTCAAGCGGTAGAGCGCTCGCCTTGAGCTGAAGAGTACAGGGACAGTGCCAAAGCCCAGAGCTCAAGCTCCACGACCTACCAAAAAAAAAAGGACAGGGAGAAGGAGGGAGACAGAGAGAGAGAGATGAAGGGAGGAAAGTGATTCTCAGTGTCTACTTTAGTAGCTCTAGGGTCTAGAAGTTCAGAGTAAGATCTGAGGCAATGTCCTTATAGGCCACACAGCTGGCACCCAGCGAGAGTCAAAAGTCAAGGGGAGGTGTCTACTCTGAATATGGACTGATGGTTCCACTTATCCCAGAACACAGGAAACCCCCACATCGCACGCAGCCCCAGAACTTCAAGCTCTGGGAGCCACCTGCCCCATGAGGAGCCAACAGACCACCAGGAAGCCAGGAGACCCCCCCCCAAAAAAAAAGAAAACACCAGCAATAAAGCATTTGCTAGAACACCAAGGGTGGAGTTCTAGGCTGCATCCACTCATGTGCTCCCTCTCTCCCCAGGTCTGGGAGTCTGCATCACCAAGTTCTTGCCTGCTGTGCCCAACGACAGCCATGATGCCTTATCGTCAGAGAAGCCGGCAGGGCGAGTGTGAGGAAGACTCTCAGGACCAGAGAGAGGCACGGCAGGGCCTTGTGGGTAGGTCCCCAGTCCTGGTGGCTGAGGAGGAGAAGGCCACTGCCACTGCCTCTTCCTCCAGCTCTGCTGTGATCCCAGGCACTCCAAGGGTGGTGCCTGTTAATGGGGTACCAAGGGCTCCCCAGAGTCCTCCAAGAGCCTCCCTTCCCCCCAGTACCCTGGTCTCCATTCCATGGAGCCACTTTGATCAGGGCTCCAGATGCCCTCAGGGTAACCTGGCAGACCCTGTGGCCTTGCTGAGAGAGAGATTAAGTGCCAAGGTAGTTAACTTGGTACACTTCCTGCTCTTCAAGTATCAAATGAAGAGGTCTACCACCAAAGCTGAAATCCTGAATCGGATCATCAGATGTCACAGAGATTATTTCCCTGTCATCTTTAGTAGTGCTCGGAAATGCTTGGAGCTAGTCTTCGGCGTTGATATGAAAGAAGTGGGGCCCTATAACGAGTCGTACATCCTGGTCACTTCCTTGGGGCTCACCTATGATGGGCTACAAACGGATGTCCAGGGTGTGCCCAAGACGGGCCTCCTAATCATGATCCTGGCCATCATCTTCATGAATGGCAACTGCATACCTGAAGAGGTATTCTGGGAATATATGGCTATGTTAGGGATGAATGATGGGGAGCACTTTATCTGTGGGAACCCCAGAAGTCTCATCACTGGAGAATTCGTGCAGGAGCAGTACCTGGAGTACCGACATGTACCCAACACTGTTCCTGCTCACTACGAGTTTCTGTGGGGCCCAAGAGCCCATGCAGAAACCAGTAAGATGAAAGTCCTCCTGTTCTATTCCAAGATCAGTGGGAGTGATCCCACATCCTATCCAGTCCTATACGAAGAGGCATTGAGGGAAGAAGAAGAGAGACAATAAGCCTACATTCTGCTCACTTACTCTTCCCTTTGCCTTCCAAATGATGCTACTGGTATGGCCAAAACAGAACTTCTTCTATTCACAACGAAGTTCTGAGGCAAGTATTTCCCTGTTTGAAGATGGCCATCTTTGTTTGCAGTAGTACACAGAATGTATGAGGGTAAGGGAAATAGAGTTACTAACAGCTTTATCTCCTGTTGTTTAATACATATGACTTGGAAATTTTTAAACCTTCTGTTCTTTTTGGTATTTTGCTGTGTTTCTCCTTTTCATTACAGTCTTAGGAAATAGAGGTAAAAGTAAGAAATCAAAAACTTGGTTTTCATACTCTTTTTCTAAATACTGTTGTTCTGTAAATTCTTTCTGTGTGTGTACAAGTCCTGAGGCTTGAACATGGCCTGGGTGTTATTCCTTAGCTTCTTTTGCTATAGGCTAGCACTCTACCACTTGAGACACAGTTCCATTTTTGGTAGTTAATTAGTGGTATGAATCTCACGGAATTTTACCCTTTAAATATTGTTGTTCTGTAAAATTTGTGTGTGTGTGTGTGTGTGTGTGTGTGTGTGTGTGTGTGTGTGTGTGTGCGCGCGCGCACGCGTGCTTATGCGTATGTACTATGTGGCAGTCCTGGATCTTGAATTCAAAGCCCAGATGCTGTGCTTGTTTTTCTCAAGGGTAGTGCTCTACCACTTGAGCCACAGCTCCACTTCTGGCATTGTGATGGTGATAACAATCTCATGGACTTTCCCTTAAACCGTAATCCTTAGATCTCAGCTCCTGAGAAGCTGGGATTGCAGGGTTGAGACAATAGTGCCTGGCTGGTGTAAATTTGAAATGCAGGTGTTAGCCTCAGTTTGCTTTACTATTTGAGTGTGTATAAGAAATTTGCTAATAAAAAAATTTAAAAAATAATAAAATATCTAATAATTTCTAATAATAGAATGGCTGGGATGGTCTGCCTTGGGCCTGACAGCATGAGAAACTGCTCTGAGCCGTTTCTGATGGGTGCATAAAGTTGAAAGGCGCGTCTGCTGTGTGTGGGGGATGGCTGGGGGGATAGAAGGGGACCCTGTGCTCTTTTCCCAGTGAGGTTGAACACAGTGCAAAAACCAGGTAATTTATCTCATTATCCCCTAAGAGATAAATGAGTCTCCTATGAAGTGAGGCTCAGAAGCCACTGGCTATATAATCTTTTCCTTGCAGTGGTAGTACCAGAAGGCACAGCATTAAAATGGCATTGCAATTAGGTGATCTCCAATATAATTTGGGCAACTGTACACAAGAGATATTTGAGGTGTTGGGAGAAGAATGAAAAGAAAGAAGGTGCTATCATGTGTATGTATAGGGAGATTGGTCCTGATATACTGAGGGTTGCACCATTAAGAAAGATAGGACCCCGCAGGAGACCATTGGAGTCATTTCTCATAAGAGGAATTTGTGTAATTCCTGTGGGACCCCCACTGTTGTCCCCAGAGCTTGTTATAGAAGAGTGAACCTGGTGCCAAGTCACTCTCTGGCTCCTGCCTTGCCATGTGGTTTTCGCCCTCTTACACTTCCACACCATATCAGCTAACATGCACTTCTCACCACAATTGATACTTCTAAAAATATGACATAAATAAACCTCTCTGTATAGATTCCTCTCATTTAGAAACTGTTCTGTAATTAACAATGGAATATTTAGACCAAAAGTTCCAGATGGAATAGTAGCTAGGGGGGAGGGAATGGAGAACTTGCAACTGGACTTAAATTCTCAGAGCTCTGAGTTACCTCCAGGTGGAGAAGGCTCCAAGAAATGAAATAACATCCTCTGGGAAGAATATTTTCATGAATTGTATCTATAAAGCATCATTTTTTTGTTGAATTGCTACTCTCTGTACTATTGTGATAACCAGGCTCTGCATGTGTCACAGACATTCCAACAATCCTACAGGATAGCACTTACCAAAACTGGTTTTCAAATGAAGAACCTGAAGTTCATTGGGCTTGATAGTATTCCCATAACCACATGGCTAATATGTCAGAGGACTGGGGTAAGATCCCTGTTACTATGAGTAGAAATGTGTTAGCCCTAAAACTCAAATGTTCAAGTCTTAGCCCTTAGCACCTTAGAATGTGTTTGTAGGTGAAGATGGGGTCTTTAAAAAGGGAACCAAGGTAAAATGAAGTCTTTAGTGCAGGCTCTAGTTCAATGGGGCCTATTTTGGGTTTTCTTGTAAAAAAGAGGAAATTGGGGCACAGATACATGCACAGAGTAGAGACCACGTGAAGACACAGAAGAAGGTTATCTGTAACAATAGGGACTTCCGTTTGGTAACAACCAAATTTACCAACACTTGATGATCATCTAGGATTGCCAGCCTGCACAGTGTGAGTTTCTGCTGTTGAAGCCATCCAGTCTGTGTGGTCCTTTTGCAAAGTAATACATACACCTGCTCTGAATTCATCTAGAGCCCACACCATGCCCATTCCTCCCAACCCATGTCTTATAATTATTTTTCTTATCCTACCTCCATAATGTCTCTCAAGCCACAAAAAGAATGATGTTGTAATCAAATTACTAAAAATAAGCCTAAAGAACAGTTTCAAATTTTTAAAGTCACTCCTCTGGCAGCTGTCATGCCCTGCCCCCGCCCGCCATCACCCCCATTCTGCACAAAGTAGCCAAATCAGAGCTCAACACCCAACACCCACCATGTCCTGACAGGGACAGCAGTCAGGAAAAACTGAGAAGGGGGAAATGAAAGAAAACATCAGCCAATTGGTCCAGGCCAGCTTACCAGCTTACTGTATCGCCACCAGTAGCCACCACCAAGGGCAAATTCTTGGATCCTTCTATAACCCAAAGCAGCCCTCCTACAAGCCACTACCCAAGGGAGGGCCTGGCTTGTTTCAAACAAACCAATCATCATCTGACAAATTGGAAATAGCTCCCCCTTACAATACAAAACAGCTGGTCCTCTGACCACAAGGTGGATAATTGATTTCTGGGCCCGCTGCTCCCTCTCCTAAATGGCCTTTCTCTTTTCTGAAAAAAAAAAACCTCTTACAGCTGTAAAAAATTTTAAATATTGGTTTAAAAAAATCATAAACATGTTGAAATAGAACCACAAAAATAAGCAACAAAAGCAAAAAGGGTTAGAGTGATGGGTGAAGGTAAGGCCTCTGAAGCCCAGTTCAAATCATAGTTCTGAAAAAAAGGTTTTATTTTGAAATAACTAGATTTAAAGAAAGTTGATTTTATTTTTTCCAATGAAGCTATAAAGTAAACAGGAAGTTCTAGCCTGCATCCAATTTCATCCAGTAGTTAACGTAGTACCATGCTGAAACCAAGAAACAAACATTGTATAGTTCTGTCAGTTTATCAGAAATGTAGCTTTATACAACCACCATCACAATAAAGATGCAGTCAAGATACAGAATTATTCCATCTCTTTTGTATCATATTCATCCTTCTTTCCCCTACTATTCCTAACCCCTGGAAACCAATCATTTCTTTTTCATTTCACAATTTAGGGGTTTAGGGGTTTTTTTAGGGGGGATACCATTCTTGGGTTTGAACTCAGGGCCTCAGTGCTGTCTATAAACTTTATTTGCTCAATGCTAGTGTTCTATTATTTGAGCTACAGCACCACTTCCAGCTTTTTGGTAGTTTATTGGAGATAAGTCTCACTGACTTTTCTGCCAGAGCTGGCTCAAACCACGGTCTTTGGATCTCAGCTTTTTGAGCAGCTAGGAATACAGGCATGAGCCACTAGTACTCAAAGACAACCTTATTATTTTAACAGTATTTAACACACAAATTATACAACTTAGGATCTTTGGAGATGGAATTTTTCACTCAATACAATGCCCTTGATGCCCATATAAAATTACTGTATATGTCAATAGTATGCTCCCTTTTCATGCTGACTCTTTTAGATCCCCAACTTCATGACAAATGCCTTTGTATAGCCAACTGAGATCAGAACCTAAACTCATTCCTTGGTCTCTGCTGGCTAGAATAGAGTTATATATTTTGCTGTGATATTTGGCTAGAGTACAGCAATTATTGTCTAAAAGTGTGCTATCTTGCAGGTCTTTTCCAGGTCCTTTGAATAGAGAGCAGAGTTTTTGCTCTGACTTTTTCATCTGTGCAAACTTTCCAGGTTGCACTTCTTCATCTTGAAGTCTGGGAAGTATGAGGCAAAAAGAAAAACCAGGAAACCCACTACCATGACATTTCTTATCACTAGATATGCTGCCTTCTTCATATTGTTCAGTCTTCCCATGCTTAATTTGTATTCAGTGTTCAGGCTGTTTAATTGTACATACTAAGAAGAATAGGAGAAAGTACTTCTCCAGCCTGGCACCAGTGGCTCACATCTGTAGTCCTAGCTACTCAAGAGGCTAAGATCTGGGGATCACAGTTCAAAGCCAGCTGAGCAAGAAAGTCCATGAGACTCTTATCTCCAATGAACCACCAAAAAAGCTAGGATAGTTGCCCAAATAGTAGAGCAGTAGCCTTGAGCAACAAAGCTCAAGGACAGCGCCCAGGCCCTGAGTTCAAGTCCCAGGACCAGCAAAATAAAGAGGGGAAATAAAGAGAGAGAGTCAGGGAAGGAAGGATGGAAGGAAGGAAGGGAGGGAGGGAGGGAGGGAAGGGAGGGAGGGAAGGGAAGGAAAGGAAAAGAAAGGAGAGAAGGAGGGAGGAAGGGAGGGAGGGAGGAGAAAACTACTCTAGCTTCTTGGAGGCAGAAGTGAGATTTTTAAACAGTACTAAACCAAATTTTACATCTTAATAATTATCAAGACCAAATTCAAGCATTTCTAAGTAATTACAGTGATTAAAAACTCCTCCTAATTTTTTGTCTATTCAACAGTATATATTCTTGCAGAAAACAATTTTTAAAGCTCTATTGAGGTATATTTGATATATAAATTTTATAAGCTTTAACACATCGATATTCAGGGAAAATTTCACTACAATAAAAACAGTGAACAGATCCATCATATACAAT